CTTTCCCTCGTTCACAGCAGTGCTGCGCCACACGACACATTTTGGTATCGATCCAGTACCAAGTAAATACAGGGCCAGTACTGTCGATGTTACTCAGGCAGCTACATGGGGGAGAGTAGTGTGCCATGATTAATGAGACGGATTCTCAACGAGCAAATTGTGAAACTTTTTACACAAAAACTGGGTTTTTGGAGACCTGGAATGTTTTTCTGTCTTTTAGCACACAAAAGGTTTTGGACATTTTTCATAGTACATGTTGGAGGTTTATTTTTCCCAAAGAAATAATTAACACAATTCAGCAGCTACACACTGACCTTGAAGGATAAAAGCAATGTATCGATCCGATACCAATACTAGTGTTGGTATCGATACTATCGATATTTGGATCGATCCGCCAACCTCTACTGAAGATTTGATTTAGGAAATTCCGACATGCCAGCTCATCTGGGATCTCACTATCCAGCTGCCAGGACTGGATAGCCCTGGCAGCTGGATAGTGGAAAGACACACCTTTGGAGTGGGAGTCGCAAGTTCAATTCCCATCCAGTAAGGGTCCTGGCTAGACCCCCCATGCTAACAAAAAAACAAGCCCTGGAATGGCGCAGTTGTGTCTGCAGCTCGGACACAAGCATTTCACTACTCTGTATGATTGTGTATGTCACATATAAAGGTTGCTTTCAACATCGGGGGTACATTAGTCTGCTCCGTTTGCACCCTTGTAAAGTGTGAGGAAGGATCAGCTGATGTTCAGTGGTGCTTTTTTCTTACCTTACTTAATCTGCAGCATTCATCCATGTACTCTTCCAGGCTGTCACTGGTGATACTCCTTTTAATAGGCTCAGGTTCAAAGACTTTGCTTGTCACGTCATCACAGCTTTGTATTAAGGATTGCTCTCCGAGCCTCGTATCCTCTGAGCTGCTCCTTCCTGTCACAGCCCTGGACTCTTCAGCATCCTCACTTTGTTCAGCACCTGAAACCCTGCAGTGGTTCACATCCTCACCTATGTGCAACTCTACTGTTATAGCCGAAGAAACAAGTGTATTTGAATGAATTAACAAACTATCCTGTGTAGCCACTGTTGTATTTAAACTGTTATCCGCTGAGTCGTTTGCCTGGTTTCTCTCAGTGCTCTCAGAGAGGACGGTGGGCTCAGAGTTGGAGGAGTCACAGGAAGACTCTCGACTGTGCACCACAAAGCTCTGCTCAGATCCTGTTGGGGTGGATGGTGAATGAGCTCCGCTGGGAAGCTCCACTCCAGAGTCCTCTGATTCACACTTGAACAAGTTTGAGAGATGAGTATCTGACAAAATGGCAGATAGATATTTGGAGCCAGGCTTGATCTGAGGCTGCCCAGGCTTTTCATCGAGCTGAGGATTCAGCTCAGGGTGTGAGTTGTCCTGGTCAATAAAAAGCTTCATTTTTGTCAGGACAACCTCGCTGTCCAGTAATGTGTTTCTACTGCCTCCTTTACCTGTTAAATAGAAAAAGAAATCTGTATCAATTGTAATTTTTCATATTTTAGGAAGTCCTTCAATACTGTGTTGACTGTCCTAACCATGAGCTGTTTGAAACGGTTTGAATCCAGCGAACACGTCTTTGAGTAAAAAGTTATTCAGTTGAAGCACAGAAGAAAACACGTGAAAGCAGTGTGTGTTTGTGAGAAACAGCTTCCCTCTGTGTGGTTTCAATAAGAAAGAAGGGACATTGTAACTGTAAACGGTGGCGGCCTGAACTGAAAGATGAATGAGACACAAGTAATAAAAACAGGATGTCAGAGGAGGAGCCACAAAACTGCTGTTCAAGGGCAGCTCCTTTATTACCCACACAGCTGTCCAGTGTAAACACTAGAACACCACAATGCAGAGCGAGCTCAGGTCTGTCAACTAATAAAAGATCAGTACAATCTTTTAAAAGCACAGTTTCAGTTCTATGTAACATTTGGAAACCAGAATACATCCAAGACTTTCTACAAATCCTTCTCAGAGTCCAGGGATACGTTTTAGGTTTAACACAGTTGGTTTTAAAATAAGCGGCACTGAACAAAGTGAGCAGATGATGAGCTCACGGCTTAAGGGAGCGATTGCCCAATATTCTGATTAACAGCAGAAGAATGTCCAGCAGTGATGATGCAGGGGTCACGCACACATGAAAGAGGTTTAACTGGTGGACACGGCGCAGAAATTTGAATTATAACAGACATGTGATCAGAAACGTTTAAACTGCAAATTTGAACATCACATAATTACAGAGCATGAGATAAGACTGATAAGTACGTCCACGCTCATGGGAGGGAGCGCCGACTGAACGAGATTAAAAGAGTCAGTAAGGTTCAGCACGTCTTTCACAAGAGGTTTCAAAGTTGACAGAAATATCAGCAGTCAGCATCTAAAACTGTTAAAATGGTGAATTTGCAGACTGTGGTTAAGTTTAATGACTCCCTGTGATTCTTTATGGCGAACAGTCAATGACAGGTTACATCAATTATTCTTATTTATATTGTAAATTTATCTAATTTGATGATTTTTGATTCGATTAATTCGTTTAATTCGACCTTTGATACTGGCATTACAAATCAGCCTCACAGTGTTTGTAACAGCTGCTTATATCTCGCTGAATTCAGCTGGAGCCCTGAATCCACATGTCAGCTGATCACAGCCTGCAGCTCACAAAACGAGTGATTATGTGACTTGTAGTTCTTTTCCACACGGTGCTCTTAGGGTTCATGCCAAATCCTATTTTAACACATCCTGGCTGCTGTTGATGGTTTTAAATACACAGCATACAGAGCTGAGCTCACACTGCTGTTAGAACTAAATTATATGTAGCCTGAGAGACAGCACTATACTTGCTTTAAAGATTGTTACTT